TGCCGGCGACTCAAAACTGCCAGCCGCCAAGTCCAATGTCCTAATCTCCAGATTTAGGTGATTCGATTTGTAGTTACGGAGATGAACTGTACACGAGCTCTTTCTCGTCCTCAAATCAACGCTTTAAAAATTAATTTTAATGTACTATTCCCCCGCCCCCGCGATACAAACAAAGAACAAGTGTTGTGTTATATGCCCGGCACAAGTAAGCGATAAGCCTGTTAACATGAGCGCTACGGCCACCGAGAAAGAACGGCCGCTTCCCGTCCTGAGGCGCCGTTCTCCAGTCATTCTTATTAAGCGCTCTTGCAGAGTTCAACGAGATTTCATACGCCCCGCCCTTGCGGCGACGGAACTCCCGGCCTGTAAAGAAACTGTCAGGGATCGTCCGGCGCGGCGTAAAATGGCGGAGGAGAGGTCACGTGACGGTGGTTGAACTTGCTGCTAATATGGAGGTGGTGGACACGCTTCCCGAAGAGGGAGCAGAAGATGTAGCGGTAAGTAGGAAGAAGCCTCTCCTTTGGGTGCTGTCGTGGACCACCTCCGTTCCGCCTCCCGGTGACACTACCACACTCCCGCCGTCGGGCTTGAATTGTGCAGCGGCCTCTGGCTGGAGTGCGGGCGGGAGTTTGCCACAGTAATAAACGAATCTGGCAGGTTTCGCTTCTTCTTTTTTTTTTAAGGACAGAGCCGTGGAAAGCGGTTTAGGGTCGGCCGCAACCCTCTGGATCTGGAAATCCCTGAAGATTTGGGGGTGGAGCCTTGGGAAGGCGGGTTTTGGGAGGGATGGAGGGTTGTCAATCTCCAGGCGGTGGCTGGAGATCTCCCAGAATTACAATTGCTCTCCAGCCAACAGAGATCAGTTCCCCTGCAGAAAATGCCTGCTTTGGAAGTTGGTCTCTACCTGCGGAAGTTTCTCCTGCCTGAAACCCACCCTTACCAGACTCCACCCCGCAATCTCGAGGAATTTCCCAATCCAGAGCAGGCGACCCTAGGAGGAGCCTCAGTGGAGTATAATGCTATAGAATTCACCCTCTGAAGCGGCTGTTTTTCCCAGGGGGACTGATCTCCATAGCCTGGATCCCAGATGTAATTCTGGGAGATCTCCAGCCACTACCTGGAGGCTGGCAACCCTAGTTTAGCCTGATGCTTTGTGTGTTTCCTGGGAAGTACATCTTGTTGGGTTTCATGGGATTTTTTTAGTCCTATATAAAAAAAGTGCATAGGACTGCAGCCTTTGGTAATTTGTAGTGCCATTACTCAGCTGTAGACTCTGTAGAGTAAGAGTGGTGACCCCATTACACAGTGGGTGCGTTCAGATGGGGGATTTACAACGGAATAGGTGACGGTTCCAACCGGTGTACTTACCGGTGTTCACACAGCGAACATCTGCCTCCCGTCCCTAACCGTTGTGAACAGCTTTACACCGTTGTACTCTGCCACTAGGTCCCCAAGTGGTGGTATCCTGAGTACAACAGTTGTAATCGCTGTACCCCTCCGTCTGTACGCTCTCCAACGTTGTACAGCCACTTCCGTTTGGAAGCCTGAGGCTTCCGCTTTTTGCCCGCCATTTTATCTAGGTTGGCGATATGCGCTTGGGCGAAGCTTCGCCCCGTTGTTAATAAAGAAAAAAAAGGTTATGTGCTTGTGCAAAGCCACCTCTCCTCTTCCCCTGCCCACCGCTGCTGTTGCTGCTGCTGTGGCCGCTTTTGCTCTGGCTGAGGCTGCAGAGTGTTTTTCATGACTCCGCCGTGCCCTCCTCCTCCTCCTCCTCCTCTTCCCTCCTTCTTTCTACTGCTTTTAGAAACCACAACATTCAAAAACTAGTGGGGGAACAATTTAACCTTCCAGGACATTCAGTTGCTAACCTAAGGCCCCGGTCACACACAGATTTTGCCGCGGGATACTCACGAATGCCGGGTGGATTTTAAAGGTGCGATCAAACAGACACATCTGGCAAGCATTGCGCACCCGTCGCCATCCCATGTCATCTGGCCGAAGATCCAGAGTTAAAAAGTACCAGCGAAAGTCCACTATCAAGTGTTTGCGATGGGCCACAGACGGACTCCCTCTGTCTGATCACTCCAGCGCACTCCTCTTGAGCCGCCAAAAAAACCCCCCAGTTCACCGCCGTCGCGTCTGATCACGTAGTGGCAGGTCAACTTGCGACGGCACAAATAGCCCCCCCCCCCCCCCCCGCGTTATCTGGCCCGTGTGACCGGGGCCTAAGAGTAGTAGTTCTCTTACAAAGAAATTTCGAAGGGAGATTTAAAAGAGAGACGGTTTAATTGAAACTGATAATGAAGCTCAAAACAATGCATCCTCTTGGACTGAATTGAGACCTAGGTTTCTTCTCTCATTACCAATGCCTGCTATTTTCATTTGGCGTCTGAAATAACTTTGCTCTCCAAGATATAAGAACAGAGAAGAATATATCTGCAAGGTTGATCCCATTTGCTGGGCTGAAAGAGAGCCTCTGAATGCCTTCTTTAAAACGACCATCATAAACTTTCTTTTCAGGAACAACTAGTCATGGTGGAACTGTCAGGTATAATTGATTCTGATTTTCTGGAGAAATGTGAGAACAGATGCAAAATTCTGGTGAGTGTGATGAATACAACGCACAACTTTTCTGTTTCTGAGAACGATCACAAACTGTCTTGATTTAATACCTGCTGCAGTCAATGGACATGGCTCTGCTGATGAAGGGCTTTTGTCATGGTTGTAGGAAAACATGCATGCCCTGGGTTTGAAGAGCATATGTTTCTGTTTTGCTATGTATACACCTTCGGAGGAAAGGCAGCATGGTATAGCTTGATCTCGTTTGATCTCAAAAGCTAAGCATGGTTGATACTTGGAAGGGAGACCACCAAGGAAGATTCTGCAGAGGAAGGCAATGGCAAAGCATCTGTGCTTATTACTTACCTTGAAAAACCCTTGCTGGGGTCACCAAAAGTCAGCTGTAACTTAACAGCACTGTGCACACATAGATGTATACACCTGTTGGGACGTTGTGGCCAATTGTAGCTTCCCACTGTGGATATACATGGCAAAATAGGCATGTATGTTCTTTGCACAGCATATTTTATATGTGTGTACTCATGCAGGAAACTTATCATACAAAATGTCCCTTAGTGAGCTTTAAAGTTTTCAGTAGGTTTAGGTTAGTCTTTAAATACAAAACTTGCTTGGAAATAATTGAGCTTCTTTCTGGTAAATAGGTCTGTTCTGGAAATGCACACCATCTGACCTGATAGTATTGCTTTGTTCTTGGTTCCTGCTTCTTCTTTGCAGGGAATAGATACAGAGAAGCCCATTTTGCAAGTAGACAGATATGTCTTTGCTGGGGAGTATGAAGGTAAGATAAATGTTATGGGTTGTTACATTACTAATTTTCATGCAAAGAACTGTGTAACTAGTTCAATAAGGCCATTGTTGTTGTTACTGGTAATCTCTTATTGTTTTCTATGAAAAATCTTCCCAAGCTTTAAAAAAACAAAAAACATCTGAAATATAAAATCTAAAAATAATGAAATAACTAAAAGCAGGTACTACAACTTTCAGTTCTAAGCATTAAATCTGGTACAAATCAGTTCTGAAGCTGAGAGGAATTTCAAAAACATTTTGCAAATTGTGTTGGGGCCAGCTAATCAAAGAAAAAAAGTTAAATACTTCTGAGGTAATATAAGTCCCTTGCGTGATCCAAAACAACTGTTTGAATCCTGGCCATCATTCCTTGACTTCCTAACTTTCATAGTGGCTGATCTCCTTAAATTTTGATTTGATTTAGTAAATGTGGCTATTTTGACTGTTAGACCTTGTAGAAAGAAGTTTGTACCTTTCCAAAATGTTCATTGTTGTCTCCAGATACCCTTGGTACCTGTGTGGTGTTTGAAGAAAACAAAGATCATGGTAGGTAATGCACTATTTGTATCTAAATGTTTTCAGAGGCTCAGAGATGGTTGCCAATGTGTTAAATTTTCAAACAGTAAGTTTACCACTTAAAACATTCTGTAATAATTTTCTTTATAGTAGATGCAGAAGGAAACCAAAAATTAGAGCTAAAATACAAGTACCACACAATGAAGAAACTGAATATGACACGGACGCTCCTGAGTGAGAAAAAGGAAGGAGAAGAAAACACAGGTGGTAAATTATCCTCAGTCTATGAAATCATCCTCAGTCTATGAAATCATCCTCAGTCTAAACTATACTTGTGGGTTTCTTATATTCCTGTCAGAACTCTTCCATTTCTCACCCCTCCCCACAAGGACTTGCGGGTGTGCTCTGTTCTTTCAGTGATCGTAATGGGATTCAGTTCTACACCTTACACTCTTGAGTCTTGATTGCTTCTAGGCCTATCACCTATAAAATGTACAAGATTATTTGGATCTTCTTGTGAACACCCATACACACCCCATTGTGAACACCCATACACACCCCATTTCAAAAAGCCTGGGGTTGAAGTGCACTCTCTTGCTTGCAGATGGAATGATAAGGCAGAAAAGGAAATGTAACTTACCTTGCTAAGGCATTGTTTCCCAAGACAAGAGCCTCCATATGTTAAACTGTATGAAAGCCATAGGCTAATTAACCTAGTTATACATGCAGAGAGCAGGAGCAAAGAGGTCTATTCAGGATATACTCGCAGACCAAATAGCTCAAGTGTACTTGTCATGATCATGCTTGCATTTTGGTCATTATGCTTCCTAGACTTTGAACCAGCTTGTTTTTGGGTTGTCTGATACACTACCAGTACTGGATATATTTGTGATGGAAGCTGATATGGACACTTCCATAAATAAGGTATTGGGTGACTTCATAAGGCTGGTTCTCTGGCCACGTTTATTCCCAAAGGTGCATAATGAGTGCTTCACTTTGGTCATGATTCTGTGTGTGTGTGTGTGTGTGATAATAATCACCTGCTATGTAGTCAACCTCCAAAGTTTGTTGATTACTATTGCTATAGCACCATTACAGTATGTGGTGCTTTCTAGAGTAACATAAGCAAAAAAGCCAGTCAGTTCCCTGAGGAGTTTGTAGTCTTGCTATTGGTATTGGGGAAGGGATGGGAGGAGCAAAGATCTGATGAATGTGAGCGTATGATGGATTTAATACAAATCCATTCACCTTTTTCTTTCTATGACAGGTGGTGGAGTGGAATGGCTTGAGCTTAAGGACAAAGATTTTTCATACAGCAGACCGAACATGATCTGCAATTTTTTGTATGAAAAAGAAGAGGAGATGGCTGAGTCTCAAGACAAACTGGCTGAAGAGTCTGAGGGAGAAGCCAGTGATAAAGGAAACTTTGATGATAACTTTGAATCTGAGATGCAGCCTAGTGTTGAAATTGATGACCCTGCCCAAATCTTGGATAACTCTAGCCCTGAAGCAGTGGACTCTCCTTCATTGAATACTCAGGATATTACCTTAGATGATGCTCCATGTTGATGTGAAGTCTCTAATTTTGAGATGACCACTAATAGAACTAATTAATACAGTGTACGTTTGAGAGGCATCTCTCTGACTTGTGTACGTAGTTAACTGGAAATATGAATCCTAAACTTACATGGCAATTTAGGATCATAGTCTGGAAAACTGTGTGCCTAGTGTATGCCTCATGAAGATTTTGACTTTTCTTTCGACAAGAGCCCACCACTGGCCAACTATATTGCAACAGCAGCCTTTTAAAAAGTTCAAGTGAGTTTCATTAACATTTTGCACAGCTGGAAGTTCCAATTCAAATAAAAAAAATATAGTTGGTTATGTGCATACTTCTGAGCAGGCCTCGTAGGGCTTTCTGGAGTGCAGCTTGGTTTTCTTAGGACATCTCACTCCCTCAGATTTGCAAAGAACAGAAGATTGATGAAAAATTGATGTTAAGCCATTTTTTTATTCTTCTGTGTACACAATTAAATTTGCAAAAGATTGTGCACTTGTTTGTAAAATACATGTTTGCTGTTCTCAGATACTTAGTTTTACTTATTTAGTGTATTTATATTCCAACCTTTCTCCAGGGAGCTCAGGGCAGCAGACCTGGTTCTTTCTCCTCCCATTTTATCCTTCCAGTACACCTGAGAGAGCCTGAGTGGCCCAAGGTCACCCAGTGAGCTTCACATGTGAGTAAGCATTTGAACCTGTGCCTCGCAGCTCCTACTCCACCACACAAGAACCCGAGGAGCTTGCAGTCTAAACTGTGGGGCAAAGGCAACAAGGAACGGAGAAGGAAGCGGACGCAGGGATAAGCAAAAACCTCTCTTCATTCCAGTCAAGCATGTTTTTGGGCTTCTTTCTATAAAGAAAGAGGGCTTATTGGTTGTGCCAAAAGCTTCATGGGAAAAAGTGGGGTGATGGACAGGAAGAAATCCCACCCTCTTTTCTCCTCCATCAGACCAAATGGATTCAGACAGGCTCAAAGGAATGCTGAAGTAAGGAAAATAATAATCAACCAACAGAGGATTTTGGAGGGAGAAAGGATAGGAGGTATCCTAACTAGGCAGAGAGTCCACCAGAAACTGTAGCGTATGATTTCAGATGGACAGGTTTTGGATGCTGTTCCTTGATAAAAACTGAATTGTAAAAGCCATCTAGTTATTGTATTTTAAGTGTGACACAATGAAAGCGTACCAACATTTTTAACCTTTTAAGTATAACACACCTCCGAGCTTTGGTAATTGTATCAGCTGTCAGCCTACAGTGGGAAGGCATTACAGGTCATGTCATGCTTGCAAACTAAATAAACGTATGTGTTTTGTTATATGTGACTCCTGTGTTATCCTCAACCTATATAATACACTATACAGTCTGTAGGATCCAGAGAAAAGGGGTCTTGATTTGTAGCTGATGTGCTTTCTGGTGCAGGATTATAAAATAAGTCACACTGTATAAAATAAGACATACTAATGAAAAATCCACTTCACCTGTGGGCCTGGTATAGTAAAATAACGTGGATGTAGGTGCCAAAGCGAGTCAACTTTCCAGCCTGAGGGACTTGTCATTGATAACAAAGGACTGGGTCAGGGGTTGTGACAGGTTTGTTTTGAGGAAGGCAGCTGCATTGTTCGGTCCAAGAACTCTTTGCTGCCAGTGGCACATTCTGCTATTACCAATGAAGAAGTTTGCCATTGTTCTTCCCATTTTGTGGAATGATCTTCAAAAGACTTGATCCCTTCCGGATTTTTGGAAAGCGTGCAAGGTTGTCCTGTTCATGAGGGGGTTGGGTGGAAGGCTTTTGTATTGATAGGCATTCTTTACTAACAGCTGGATCTGTTCAGTTGTTTTGAGGCTTGCAATGCAAACTTGATTTTCTTGTAAGCTTTCTGAACTTGTGAAAAGGTCGAGTAGAAATTTTTAATAAAATATTTTATTTTACTTCATTTATAGGCTGTCTTTCTCACTGAGACTCAAGATGCATGACAAAATAAAAAAGCAAAAGAGGCTGCCTCATGCTGAAGTCCAGAAGTGAGGTGCAGTAAGGGAGAAAGGGCCATAGAGTTGATTCTAGGAGCAGGAAACCTTCAGAAGCAGTCATAGAAGTGCATATAGGATTGTACAGTGAGGGTGATGAAGCTGGAGGAACAAAGGGTAAAGTAAGGCCAGGGCACCCTAGAATTTGAAGGTAAGGTCACAAAGTTTGTGCCAGACATTGGAACACACATGAACGCACAAAGTGATTTTGGCAACTGAGTACTATACAGAGGTGAGGGGGCTAAAGTGCACAGAGGAAGGCCAGAGAAGAGGAGGCTGCAGTGGTCAAGGGAAGATATGACCATATCATGAATCAAGAAAGGGGGGAGAGCGTATATTTGCAGTGTGTGTTTGTCTTTGTATCTGCATGTAGACCGGGGCAATCACCAAACTGCCTTGACCCTCTAAACATACAGCCTGCATTTTTTAAGTTGACACTGACAAGGTGGAAATCCAAGAATGTTGCTCACACTTTCTCAGCTGCTGAATGCCATCTTCCATATCCCAGCCTTCCAACAGAGCTCATGTTGTGGGTGGTGTTCATAAAGCTTGCTGCTGGATAGTCCTGCTCACTGCAAATCTGAGGCTTATGTGAGATTTTAATAACCGTACTTGCTTTATCACAAGCAATGATAGTTCTAATCACATTTAAAACAACTTATTTTCTTGCACCTTTTCTCATCGGTTCTGCAATCTAACAATATAGTCAATATGTGGCTATGATTTGGAAAACAGTATGACATGTATAAAACTGAGAACCTCGAAGGTTCTAGATTCACTTCAGCGAAACGTTATTTAAGAAGAAGAGATTAGATTTATACCCTGCCTTTCACTACCCAAAGGAGTCTCGGAGCAGCTTACAATCTTCTATCCCTTCTCCTCCCCACAACAGGCACCCTGTGAGGTAGGTGGGGCTAAGAGAGCTCTTTCCAGAACAGCTCTGAAAGAACTGTGACTGACCCAAGGTCACGCCAGCAGCTGCATGTGGAAAAGTGGGAAAGCAAACCCGGTTCTCCCAGATTAGAGTCCATGTTCCTAACCACTACACCAAACTGGTTCTCGGGTAATATATTTGCAGGTTTGACTCCTCCCCAAGCCAAGTCAGATCTAGATTTGACTGAAGGGTGAATTAATCTAGAAACTTCTCCCTGCCCCAAATATGCACCCATCCCAATATTTTTGAAGGAAAAATAACCTATGTTTGGTAGTGAAGACCAGTCCTTGGGCATAATGACAAACCACCCAAGCTCCTGTTCCCAGGCTATATCTGTGTGCTGAGTTAGTTTTAGTGCACAGTGTGCTTTTTGAAGGAGACAAAATATATCAGGGATAGGGAACTGAAGCATCAAGCAGGAATAAGCATTTGGGGATTACTTGTTCCTGCAGAATTACTAGCAGGTTGTGCTAAGTTCAAGGATGTGTGTTCCCAGATAAGTGTGCTTGGGAGGCTTGCTCCTAGATAAGTATGTAGCAGTGTGTTACTTACCAGTTGCTAAGTACCACTGAACTTAATGGGGCTTACTTCTGAGTATACATAGACAAATTTGCACAGCTTCTTCAGGCTTTGTTCATACAAGCCATAACATTTATTTAGTATTTATTTATTACATTTTTATGTTGCCTTTCACTGGATCGCTGTTCCCAAGGAGGGGCATATAAAACATTACCATAATTAAACCCAACATTAAAATTATAAAGTAATTCAATAAACACACAACACTGAAATGAAGAATTGACACTAAAACAAAATTTAAATCTTAATCTCATTGTACTTGGTTAGTGTACTAGCTTTATTCTCAGACCTCAAAAATACATTTTGTCAAACAATTTAGGTGCATTCCCCAGTCTCTGTACCGCCTGCCCCCCACCAGTGTTCCCTCTAAGCTGAGTTAGTGTGAGCTACCTCACAGTTTTTTAGCCTCTGGCTCACACATTTTTGTCTCAGCTCAGGAAGGATAGCTCCAGAGCAAACTAATTTATGCAGTAGCCAAGCTGGCTCACAACTTTAATGCCAGTAGCTCACAAAGTAGAATTTTTGCTCACAAGACTCCACAGCTTAGAGCGAACATTGCCCCCCACCACCCGAGTCCCCCCCAACAAGCCCTGCGGGAGTTTTTCTAAGGAAGCCGCGGAAAGTGGACACCAGAGGTGCCGAGGGGCAGCCCTTTACCTGCACTCTGAGCCCCCCCCGCAGCGCCCGCTCCCTCCCGGCTTCCATGACCTTTGTGACTGGAGGCGACGTGCTGGGCGAGGGGGTGGTGGAGGAGGACCCCCCCCCATCCTTTCGCAAAAAAAGCCCCTAGCTACGGGGCTGATCAAGTCCTTATTGAGCAACTACTAAAAGTTTTGTTTTTTCTTTCCTTTCTTTCTGGCAAACCTGAATGCCAGGCCTGTTTCCTCGTAGGCTATGAATTCCCCGGAAGAATATTTCGTGTGTAAGCAATGAACCTCACAGCAGTGAACATCTGAATTAAACCCCCGCCATGCCATATCAACAGGAGGCGAGATTACTCCCGGAAGCTCCTGAACGTAGGCTGGATCTGCAGGGTCCAGGTGTGGAAGTTCAGGGGTTCAAAAGCAAAAACACTTTTTTGGTTGTCCTAAAACGCGCTCCCCCCCCCCCTTTAACTGCACCCAACCTTCCTTGATTCTTTCTCAATGCTAAAAGATTCCCCAGATGCTTTTTATTCTGAGGTAGGCTCATAGCCTCATCTCTTCCCCCTGGTGGCCATGAAACCGCATTTCATATCAATGATGTGAACAGGACCACCACCAACAAAACAAAAAGAATCAAGAGGACTATAATGTAACCCTTGTGATATGGATCTACCTTATGGTATAAAATAACTAATTTCTCCATGGTACTTAGCTGTGTTTTCACTACAAAGATGCCAACAGACAGAAGCGACTCTGCGTCGAAAATCGTAGGCAATTGCGGCTTCCTATCTTGTACCGGTAGTTTAAACTTTGTGAGTGACTCCAGCCTCTATGGCGCCAACTCAACCCCTTTTTATCATAGAGAGGACAAAGCGACCCACACAACCTAAGCTTCCGGTTTCTTTAACTGACTCCATATGCGGGCGGGACAGATCCAGAATTCAAATATTGCCGCAACCTACTCAAATCCACATACACCCCCCCTCCCTTTTGCATTGATTACGAAGGGGAAGACTTTTTGTGTCTTCTACGGTTTCTTTCTTTCTTTCCTTTTTGTCTGTCGCTTTTGTCAACCTTTATTCTCTCTTCACGTAATCGCCGAGCAGCGGTGGATGTGACGTCACGAAACAGAGCATAATTGTTCTCCTTCCGGCGCACATGCTTGCTCGGCCCGCGTGGATGCAGGAGGGTATTCCGCAAAAAATGGATTCGTTGGACAGAGTAGTGTAAGTACGGTGATAGTCGGGCGAGTAGTTATATCACTTTACTCGGCCCTTTGTTGGGTCGCGTAGAAAAATGTGTGGTTCTACTCGTAGGTCACAATTTGTCTTGTATTTTCTGTCTTCCAGGCTAGTCCTCGAAAGTGTGGTGCCCGCAATAATGTCTTAGAGTGGTAGCGGCTGTGGGCTATGCTTTATTCCGTTGTGTTTCGAATGTTGTAAATGTTCCCATTCCTTGAATGGGAAATTTTCTGCCTTGGTTAGTCTGAAACAGTAAACTAGGTGTGCATTTATTAATATTTGTGTATGTTGGATTATATTATATGGGGGTATGATGTAGGGTTGGTTCTAACTCCTGTACAAGGATCAGTTTTCTTATGTTAGTATCAGGTCACTGGATCCTATATGTCAATATTTCAGCGTAGGTGAACGTTCATAAATGTTACGGAAATTATGCTTGCTCTGTTGCCAACTCTTCAAGTTGTTGATTGGTCCTTCTCAGGTCTGGCTTTTCTTTCTCTCCCCCCCCCCCCACTTTGTTCCTCAGGGTGTGCGGGGGAAGGGGAAAGTATGTTCTGTAATGGAAATGTAAAGCTTATTTTTTTAAAGATGCTCAATTAAAAAATTTAACGCTTCAACAAATAAAAGTTATAGTGGTTGATTTCAGATGTCAAATGTGATTTCATTATCACATGTCTACTATCCCGCTGCATATCACACCTAATCCAATCACATATGCTATTGTCATTTGCCTGCTAATGTCATTTGGCATTTGAAATCACTCCACTCTCCAAAATATAGGACATATGGACTTATATTCTAGCTGCATCTGAAGAAGTGAGCAGTGATTCATGAAAGCTTGTACCCTGCCACAAATGTTAATCCTTAAAGTGGTACTGGATTCTTGCTCTTTTCTACTGCTACATTATCACACTGACATTGCTAATTTTCACACAGACATTCCATGTTCCAAATGATATTCTGTTTTGGAATAACAAGTTCATTGTGGTAGGACCTATAGCTAACAGGAGGCCACAGTGAGCTGTTGTATGTAACGCAGATGAGTAGCTGTGTTGGTCTGAAGTAGCAGAACAAAGTGTGAGTCCAATGGCACCTTTGATGTAGTGTTTTGTGTAGTGGTTAAATGTGGGGGCTGTAATCTGGGAGAACCAGGTTTGATTCCCCATTCCTCCACTTGCAGGTGCTAGATGACCTTGGCCAAGCCATAGTTCTGATAAGAACTGTTCTCTGAAGGACAGTTCTTAAAAGAGCTCTCTCAGCCCCACCTACCTCACAGGGTGTCTGTTGTGGGGAGGGGAAGGGAAAGGAGATTGTAAGCCACTCTGAGACTCCAAGTGAAGGGCGGGGTATAAATCCAATCACTTCCTCTTTGAAGTCCAACAGGCAGACGTATTTTTCCTGGAACTAAAGCTCACAGTGCTACAGTGCACAAGTCAACAATTCTATAGAAGGCTTCTCCAGTTCTTTGATGCTTGCTGAATCACTTTTTGTGGAGAACATAACAGCCTGTTGCTATTGTGGTAGGACCTATAGCTAACAGGAGGCCACAGTGAGCTGTTGTATGTAACCCAGATGAGTAGCCGTGTTGGTCTGAAGTAGCAGAACAAAGTGTGAGTCCAATGGCACCTTTGATGTAGTGTTTTGTGTAGTGGTTAAGTCTCATCATTTACGACTGTTGCAACCATCAGTCTCTTATCAGGAGCAAGATAGTCTGCAGCATTGGAATAGGTCTCTGTAGCTGTGGACTTTTCTATTAGTAGATATATAATGTTATTTAGGCTTTTGTATTATATGAATATGTATAAGATACACTAGGGTCTCTATTGTATTTAAATCAAATTACTGAGAGAGCAGTTGCAGATTGACCCCAGGTCTTGATTAACTCATCCACTCTAGACCCTTTTCAGGTGGGTTTCAGGTTGGGCTTTAGGACAGAGACTGCTCTGCTGGCTTTAGTTGATGCCCTCCATCTAAATGTAGACAAAGGTCAGGCCTCCTTGTTGCTCGTACTGAATTTAGCTGCTGTCTTTGACACAATGGACCATGCCATCTTGCTGAGGTGCCTGGATGCAGAAGTAGGCTTTAGGGGTTGTGCATCAGACTGGTTCAAATCGTTCCTGAAAGATCAAACCCAAAGAATTGCCATGGGAGAGCAGTTATAATCAGTTATCCCATTCTACAGTCACTCAGTTTAAAGTATTGGCTATCACATACAAAGCCCTTCATTGCCTTGGACCCTCATATCTGCAAGACTTCCCTGTGCTCCACCATGACAGCTTCGCTCATCCAAGCAGGGCCTTCTGCAGGTGTCAGCCTGCAAATGGGCAAAATCAGTAGCTGTCCAGATGTGTGCCTTCTCTGTTGTGGTCCTTACTTTGTGGAATAGCCCGCCTGAGGAGGTTGGGAAGGCTCCCACTCTCCTGGCTTTCTGAAAACTTTGCAAAATGGAACTATTCAAGAGGGCTTTTCTACACAGGCAATAGGGTAGCTCTGTACAAAAGGCTTCACAAATTACTTGACTAAATTTATTAGGGACTGTGTGGTCTATACTGCTGTGTATAGTTTGCTGTAAGTTGGATCCTATTATGTAATTTTGCATCATTTAATGTGTCATATTAACACTTATGCTTTGCTTCAGTTCTATTTTTTAGACTTCTGGTTGGTTCTACAACCCAAATTTTATCTCATTATTGAATGTCCCATCTTGTTGATTGTATTGACTCACTCTGTAATCCATGTTGAATCCCAGTGAGAAAGGTAGATTATAAATAACATAAATACAACTAATAATGAGTGAATACATAAGTCATACAGGCTGATTTTTTAAAAAAATAGGGAATTATGTTGCTCTTTAAAGTAGTTAAATCCTGAAGTGTAACATTTTAGGTTCAGAATATTAAGTAACTGCACATTAAATTTAGCTTATGAGGAACATGAAGCACCTGTGTTTTGTGAAAGATAACTTTTTTAAAAATTATGACAGGAAGCCTAAAACAAAAAGGGCGAAAAGGTTTCTTGAAAATAGAGCGCCAAAGCTCACAGAAAATACGAAGAATGCCATGTTCATTAAAGGTGGGAATGCAAGTTCAACAGTCACTGACGCACTCAAGGACATTGTAAGTATTTCTGGAACTATTTGTGGTACTGAAGTTACTGAGTTACATAGGAATGAGACTTGGAAAACAATATAAGGAATAATCAGTATGTACTGGGAGCTGCGGTGGCTCAAGTGGTTAAGACGCTGAACTGCAGGCTGTGGGAAGTCGGTAGTTCAGCAGTTCGAGACCCGAGTGTGCTGCATGACGGAGTGAGCTCCCATCTCTAGTTCCAGCTCCTGCCAACCTAGCAGTTCGAAAGCAAGAAATTGCAAGTAGATAAATAGGGACCACTTCGGTGGGAAGGTAACAGCGTTCCGTACACCTTGATGTTTTGTTTAGTCATGCCGGCCACATGACCACGGAAACGTCTTCGGACAGTGCTGGCTCTTCGGCTTTGAAACGGAGATGAGCACCGCAACCCTAGAGTGGGATTCGACTGGCTTTCGAGCAAGGGAACCTTTACCTTTACTGGGTGAATGCCTCTAAGCACACACACACACACACACACCCAGGTATGCTGCAGTGACTGGTGATGAATGTGTTCTGTACCTCACTCCACTATATTTGTAGGGGAACTGATTAAGTTTCTTGTTCTTTCAAGTAGTTGCTTTCTGTAGAATGTGGTACAAAACATCAAGGTACAGCAGTTCCATTAATTTTGCTTTGTTGCTGAATGTAAGACCAAATGCAGAATTCACAATAGCATTTTTAGATAAGAGGTTATTTCTAAATGACTGTACTCATGTGCCAGAGAAGCAACATCACCTAGGGTCTTGTTGCCAGTTTGTTTAACCTCTGCCAGCCTTGTTGGGAAATCTCTGGATCATTCTGACCTGCCAAATATGGTACTAACCTCTGAACAGTATGGCTACCCAATAGTGCAGAGTAAGGTAGGGGTAGGGAACCCATGGCACGTGTGCTCAAACTGAGGCAGGTGGGGAGATTGCCAGCTGCAAGTGTGGAGCTGCGTCCTGTCTGAGGAGCTGAAGCTATTGCCATTCCTCTCAGATAAAGCCGCCTCTGTGGCCAGCACAACCCTCATCTCTTTTGTCTGCCCTTTTGCTATCTGGCACATTAACATATTCATAGATAGCCCTTGGCCTGTTACTATTTCTTACCCTGGCAAAGTATCATCGGGGTAGTAAGTGACAACATAAGTCCTGCAGATTGGGGGACTATAGGATCCCAGTAAATATGCATGAGCAAGTAGGGACTTTTAGTCCCCGGAAGAACTGAGGGGGATCTCCATGGTAGAGGTGAAGCTGTGATTCTGTTTCTTTTACTGTTGCTTAAGCTCATCTCTTTTGGGATATGGCAGGTGCGGTGCTTTTAATAGACCATAAGTGAAAGTCTCTTGTCACAGGTATGGCCAAGAGTACAGGGGAACAATTGCTGGTGTTGACCCAAAAGATAATGAAGGATGATTGCCTAGGGCAGAAAAAGAGCCAGCCCTTCCTCTCAGCTAAACATGTCAGAATAAAATAGCTTTGGAGAGGGCTACGGAACAAAGGAGCAACACAATAGCATGGCTTTTTGTAGATAGAAACAGTCCAACCCATATCAAGACATAATATGTGATGGGGCTGAGGTGCAAGAAGTGATAATGGCAAGAATGGAAAAGCAAGATTGTACTCTAGTGGCACCTGAAAATACCAACAAGATTTCCAGGGTATAATGTGGAAAGCTTTTACCCTGTAAATCCTGTTGGGGTTTAAGGTGCTACTGGACTCAGATATTGCTTTATACTGCAGACCAACATGGCTACCTACCTGAAAACATCTTCACAGAAAGGAAGGTGTGTTCTGGTTGAAGGCTACCAAATATTCATATCTATAAGAAACTTGTAATCACGATGTTAAATAGAAAGTAGCAAGAACAAGCTAACAGTTATATATTTTAAGAAGATAGTCAAGTATAGATAGCTTTGTACGGTGTTTGAAATTATAGGATAAGGAGTAGGCCATGAATGTGCACTAGGGTTGCCAGGCCTCATCAACACCCTGGCGGGAGGGAGTCTTCCAGGAGTGGGGCAGGGCTCTGCGATGTGATGACATCACCTGGAAGTTACATCATTACTTCGGGTTCATCGCACAGTACCGGTCTAGTTTGAGGGCAAAAATCTGTTGCTACAATTGCCCTGAAAACATAGAGTTTTGTCCAAAAACCAGAGTGTCACTGCGCAGTGCCCCCGACATGATGACAACACTTCTGGGTGATGTCATTGTGTCAAAGATGTTGCCCCTGTGACATCACTGTTTGGGGGTGGGGTTTCCCTAACCAGCCAACTGGCTGGTGGTGGGCAGAAGCCCCCAAAACTGGGGGATTCCCCACCTGGACCTAGGGAATGGCAACCCTAATGTGTACCCTTGTCAAGTGGGACAGTGAACTGTTATTGGAAGATGATTTTTAAAACCTATAAATCTGGGGGTATTAATTGATTTAGGAGCCTCTTAGAAAGGGCTCATTACCTGTGACCTTCTTATCTTTGGGTAAAATATTTTTATAGGACTCATGTAACTGTTATCCTGCATTTATCTGTGTAGCAGTAAAGGATGGTATAATTTTCCTTTGCGTTATTCATTGTTAAATGTACAGGTAGTTATGTTGTGATAAAAGAATAACATTGTAGCAAAAGTTCTCTAATAGCATTTCTTGTGTGCTATACCCATAACAAACCAAAAACATTGAGGAATACCTTTTGCCAGGAATTAAATTTATTGCTGTTTTATCCTGTTGTAAGCCGCCCTGAGCCGGCCATAGCTGGGAGAGTGGGGTATAAATGTCATAAATAAATAAATAAATAATCTGATGTGCTAGCTAACTAGATACTTCTGCCTTCTTAAGTGCATGCCTGTATCTGACACTGCTTGGGAGCTGAATGACAATATTCTTTAGGCACTTATTAATCCAAACTCTGCTTTATCTGTATCTCATCTAAACTGGTTTTCCTAATAGTTTAGCAATCAACAAAGTTTCACCATAAAATGTCTCCTTTTTTCTTTTTTTGTAGTATGCTCTGAAAAAGCCATTTGCTGTTCTATATAAAAAGTAAGTGGTGCTTTCTTCAGTCAAATGTATTTGGCTTATTTAGGAGTAGCTAAAGTTATTTAGTTCACTCAGGCTGAAGAATGTTGCTTAGAACAGAAGAAGGGTGCCCTGACCTGGATAGTGCAGGCAAGCCTGATCTTGTTAGACCTTGGAAGCTAAGCACGGTCATCTCTGGTAAGTACTTGAATGGGAGACCTCCTTGGAATTCCAGCAGTTGGGAGGCCAGGGGAAGGTATTATTCAGCCACCTCTCTGAATATTCTCCAGGCTCCCAGTAGGGGTCAGTCACCAGAGGTCACCATGACTTCCAGGTGTACATGCACATATGAAAAATACAAAAAAACCCCCAAAATAATAATAATTTTTAAAACCAGAAGAAGGGTATACTAAGCTTTAGGCATCTCTGATTAGAAATTTTCTGATCTGTTCAGATTGAACCTGGCTGTTAAGAGAAAATTGAACATATGATCACTAACCAAGAGTTAGCCAGTAGTTCTACAAGATCCCTCCATTTATTTATTTAAAGCAAGTTCAGGGTGGGTTAAAATTCATTTAAAATTTAACAATGAAAGCAGAGGCACCTGTAGTGGGGTCTCAGAAGATGTCTGCAGGGTGAGATAGGGTTGTATGGATGTGTGGTCCTTTGTAACAGGCTGCAGTTCAAAAAATAATTCCCTTGGAGTAAGCCTCATTGACTAAAATGGGGCTTACTTCTGAGTAGGCCTGCTTTGGATGACTTGCAAAAATGCTTACTTTTCAGTTATACTTTAAAAATAAAAAGCATCTGTCAGAACTGAGGTTAAGGAAAATGCTTACAGCCTTAAATATATGTAGTTTTAGATACAGTGTATGATTTACCTGTCCCACTTAAGTGGCCTTTGTGTAACATCTGTATCAAGACATATCAGAAGGGAGTGTTGGTCCCTTAAAAAAATCATTCCTGTTTGGCAATCCAAGTACAACTCTCTATAGAAGGTTGTCTCCTTTGCAGTTGCAATGGCAAAAGATCTTTTATTCTGTTGAGCGGCACAAGCTATTACACATGGATATTGAAGCTACTACTACTAGTGTACTTTGAAAGTTGTGAGGTGTTTTGAGGCTCTGACCCTTGGCCAATGTATCACCTTTGCTAATTAAGTAATACTGAAGTTATTCATTGACATATGCTGTGGTAATGGCCAGATGGATTAGATAGAGGATACCTTCGGGTCCATGATAGAAATGAAGCCCCCAAGTGTAGTGGCAGTATTAGGGGCTTACAATAGGAGATGGAGGAGTCCATCTTACTCTTCCAAGGGCCTTCTAAGGAACATCTACTTAGTCAGTGTTGTATAGTAGACTATACTAGTTGTTGGCCAGTCATAGCATTACAGTTCTTATGTTGAAAGTAGGACTTTTCAGTACAGCATTTCTAAAATTACAAAGGAAAGCTTGCAGTCATGTTGTGCAAGAAATCAGAGGGGGAATTGAACGGTTGTCTTTTCTTCAGAAAAAATGTTACAAGACCTTTTGAAGATCAGACGTCATTGGTGAGTATGAAAGACATTTGATTACTCTAGAACAGGAGCCTTGTTTGCGTGAAAATAAACCAACAAAATAAGATTCAAAGGAGAAATATTCCATAACATATGGAATTAGGTGTCCTAGTAGATGAATATTGGACTATGTTAAAATAAATGCAGTTCAGGCAAGCAGTTCCTTTGGCAGTAGGTTGGTTTTTTTCTTGTGGAGTGACTCTTCTGCACTGCTCTTCTTTGCCTCTGGGTGGTACTGTTGTAGAGAACACAGATCCTCCAGAGTAATTTACTTGTAATAAAAATAGTACCTGGCACTTTCTGGTGCTATGGCACATATGCATATGTGCAAGCTAGATAGGGAGTGCACTCTTAAGTTTATAGACAAATTAAATATGTGTGTGTATGTTAACTGCTGTCAAGTTGCTTCTGATTTACGGTGACTCTCTGAATTAATGTCCTCCAAAATGTCCTGTTGTTATCAGCCTTGCTCAGGTCTTGCAAACTGAGGGTTGTGGCTTCCTTGATGGAGTCAATCCATCTCATATTAGATCTTCCTCTTTTCCTGCTGCCTTCAACTTTTCCTAGCATTATTGTCTTTTCCAGTGACTCTGGTCTTTTCATAATGTGGCCAAAGTACAATAGCCTCAGTTTGGTCATTTTAGCTTCTAGGAAGAGTTCAGGCTTGATTTTATCTAGAACCCACTTATTTGTCTTTTTGGCAGTCCAGAGTATCTGTAAAACTCGCCCCACAACACCACATTTCAAATGAATCAACTTTCTGCCTGTCAAACTAGTTATTTGAAGGATGCTAAATAAGAAGAGTGTTTCTATGGAATCACATTGATAAAACATAGGTACATGTGGACCCCACAGGAATTATGCCTTCAAAAAGAGCTTGCCTTGATGTACAACTGGAGCCATCCACAGCTTAAGCTGGTAACAAAATGTCAACCCCACCCTATCTCCTGCCAGACATATTAAATTGTACTGAAATTGTCTGAACCTTTTTTGATTTAACTGCTCAGGCAGATATATTCCATAAAAAATACAGGCAACCTCATGCTCTGTTGGAGTTGGGTATTTGTACTTGATTCTATATGGAGAAACAGGAAAGAGCGTCTGAATACATTCTTTCTTGCTGGGAAGAACACAGAGGGCACTGGGCTTTACGGAATTTTAGAAGGATTGCACTTTATTGGGCTGTACTTCTTGTGGGTTGAGGACAGTAATAGCACGTGCATATAGGGGCTTTTAAGCTTCATCTTGCAGTGGCATTCTCCTAGCACAGGGAAATACTTTGCATATGTTCCTCTTTGGAGCCTGGCCCATGTTTTTACAGCTGTTTGGGATTGGCCTATGTTTACACTTGTAATGGATTTTAATTGTCTGATTAGTTTTAGAAATCATATCCACATAGAAATAAGTCTTTAAAAAACACAGCAGTGAGGTTTGCTACTGAGGACAGAATCAGACACGACACAGCCATTCCACGTACACTCTGCCAAATTTAAATGTGTTAACTATGTAGGTTAGCATGCCAGCAATCAGTTGCCCAGACAAGAACATGACTAGTGTGCTAAAGGAACTTGTGAATGGGCCAACATATAGCAAGTACAATGAAACATGACAGGAATGCATAGAATATCTCTGTGGGTAAGCACTTGACCTGTGACATATGGCCGTGATCTGTTTGTATGGGGCTTCTCCCCCCCCTTTCTTGGTGTTTTTCTTTTTTGCTTGAGTTTGCTGAACTGTAGTTACAGGTGAAGTTAGCTGACCTCGACCTGACTTTTCCCCCCATGTTGAATTGTATGCCCTTTCCATGCTGTATCACAAACTGTTTTTGAAATTCTCCTGAGTTCAAGGAACTCAAGTGCAGAGCCCTAGTGGATATGCACTGCTGATTGGCTGGTTCCTAGAATTGTGATCCATGCTTGCCACACGCTCATAAAATAAAACAAGGCCTTAATTTCCCAACAGGGAATACAGTCAGTGTAGTTTTCTCTGTTGGCAAAGGTTAAAGCTACTAAATAGGAGTACATTCAACACTGAGAGGTACCTATTATAGTGTTCATCATGTTTCTAAACTGTGTCCCTTCTTAATTAATAGGAATTTTTTTCTAAGAAGTCTGACTGTTCTCTGTTCCTGTTTGGATCACATAATAAGAAGAGGCCTAATAATCTGGTAATAGGTAATGTGTTTATTTTTTATGGGTTGGAATGAGGTGAAGATGCATCAAAAACAGAGGTGAGAAACATGTAGCTGGTAGCCATATGGCATTCTGAGAGTTTCAGCTTGTTTTTTTCTTTCTCAATGAACAAAACTTGGGGGAAAGTATTAGTAGTGCATTTGAAAGGATCAAGAAACCAGCCTTAGGCATTTGAATAGCACCTTCCTACGCTCACCTTGCTACTGTTCCATGAATGTGTGAGCATAGCACTTAGTCACTTTTTATTGACAGGTTTGGCTTGTGAAGATAGAAGTTGTACTTTCATGTATCTTTTTTCTTATCACTCCTCATGTGTAAATTGCTTTTATGTATGTTCACCATTGCAGCAACATTCTGGGAAGCGTAGGCTGAACTAGAGACTAAGGCTACATAGTGGGTGGGTGGGAGGAATAATTCAAGTTTGACTCTCCAGCCATGCTAGCACTCAGATTTCTGTAATGCCAAAATTCCCTCCTTATCTATTTAAAATATTACCCTTCCTTTCTCCTTCAAATGTCTGGCTTATCTGCCACAACAAAAGAGGAAGCTAGGCAGCTGTAAATAGTTAACTGTGGGCTGGCATGGCCTTGATCCATGCAAATAGTGGTAGGTACCATGAGTTATGTGCACATTAGCTGCAATTCTGTTATGCATCGTTCTCCAAAATGCAAATATGTCCTGAACATCCTTACCAAGGTCAACATTTAATTTTTTAGGTCGTATGTATGATTATCATGTCCTGGATATGGTTGAGTTGGGCATTGAGAAGTTTGTGCGTCTCCGAGATCTCAAGGTAAGCTGCTTTTTTTTTAAAGGTAAGCTACTTTTGAATAACATGAGGTAGTCAGTGACGATGACAACTGTTGATTAACCGTTCATTTGCTGAAATGATAGGTTTTGGGTGTTGTCAGAAAAATTCTCACTGGGCTTTGGAGAGAAATGTGTAAATTTGCCTACTATGTGTGCTGTATGCTCTGCTCTACAAATAGAAATATTTGATAGAAATATTTCTTTTTTTCCAGAATGTTAAAAAGCAGTCCTAATTTGCTCTTACCAGTACTGACAGAGAGTATATCAAAATACCAGGGGAACGGCACTATCCATTGGTAGAGGAGGGGAAGGTGATCGTTGCTGTGCCCCTGTCTCTGCTTTGCCTCCCCTGTTCTTAAAGGAGTTGCATACCAAGCAGTGTTTTGGATCAAATCCAGAACTGTTGGATTAAATGATCCTTAACACTGATCATATTTTGTATCTTTCCATTTGAAAGTAAGAAACTTTTAGAAGTCAAAATTAAGATTGGTGAGAAAAATTCAGCACAACTTAACTTGCCTTTTGGATAATGCTACCTTTTACTGAAGTGTGTTGGGCTTCTATAGCTTCCAGTGCAGGTAGCAAAAATGTAGAAAACAAGGTGCAAGGTGAAGTAATATCTATTAAGTTCTTGTGGATTCCTACGCATTTCACAATTCGCTTCTTACTGCTCAAGGTGGAAAATGAGTAACTTTGGCAGTGATCCTCTGAAGAAGTGAATTGCGAAACATGTAGGGATCCACAAGAACTTAATAAATATTATTTCACTTTGTACCTGGTTTTCTACATTTTTTCTGCCTACTAGTGTGGCCAATGTTGTTTTCTTCGCTGTTGGTATTCCTATGCAGGTAGCAATGCTCCCTCTAACCTGTAGAGTCTCATGAGCAAAAATTCTACTTTGTGACCTACTGGCATTAAAGTTGTGAGCAAGTGATTTGGCTGCTGCATAAATTAGTCTGCTCTGGAGCCATCCTTCCTGAGCTAAGACAAAAATATGTGAGCCAGAGGCTAAAAAACTGAGCTAGCTTATACTAACTCAGCTTAGAGGAAACACTGGCAGGTAGACACTGTCACGATTAAAGATCTTCTATAAAAACACAATTCCTGCTTTTGGGAAGTAGACCAGTACTAGAGCTCTTTCACTTAGCACCTCGTTGGTTCTCTTAATGAAGGGATTTTCTTTCTTTCTTTTTTTAAACTGCCCCCAAAGGGGCAGGGTTTTATTACATTTTCCACATAACATACACAAACAATCATAACATATACATACATATACATACATACTAACAGTACAAACAGATACATGGAGGCTGCGGTCACACGGAACAGTAGCCACGCTAGTGAGACGGAAGTCAGGCGCATTTTCCAGGCGCGATCTCACCGGCACATCTGGGAAGTGTAGCACTCCCGTGGCTCAGCCGAGGCTTCCCAGCAAAGACGCACGGCAAAAAACTAGTACCTCGGAGGTACTAGTTTCCAGAAACTGCAGGGCGAGGGCAGGCGCGTGATCGTGTTCCCGGTGGAATCCCAGGGCACCCGGCGCCCGCCCGTGTCCCCTCGCAAACAGCTTTGTTTTTTTTCTCAACTCTCCACAGATACGCAACAGCACCCAACGGAGCATGCGCACACTGTGTAAACAAACAACAAAACACCCCGTTTCCAGACGCTGGACGTTTGATTCACGGTGCAAAGTCAGGGAGATAACAATGCATCGAGGGGAGGGACAAGTCCAGATGGTCAGCAAGGGGGAGGACACTGCTGCTGGCAGCCAGAGGGGCTTGGCCGAAGGAAGGGGGCTCCTTGCAAGGGTATGGGGGGGGGAGGCTGGGGAAAGTCCCTCCGTGTCCTGAGAGACTCCTTGTCCTTGGGAGACTGGAGGCTGTTCAAGCGGACCTCCACGGGAGTTACACGGGACGTCGGATTGTGCAATTCCGCGGTTATTTAGCCCGGGGCAAACAGCCACGCTCCCCCCC